ATTGGATTACGAGGTGATAGGATATTGGTGAAAGGTGATCGTGGACTTTTTTGAACCATCCCAGCATTTGCCTTATGACCGAGGGAAACCACGAAAACACCGGCCAGGATGGCCGGCCCGGGAATCGAACCCGGACCTCCCGATTGCGACGTCAGCGCGCTAAGCGCTGAGTCACTTCGCTCGGTTCTGCCTCAGAAAGCAGCGAGCACTATCTACAGAGACGTGTGTGACCTGCAGAGAGGCGGTGGGTCAGGGCAAATCCACTGGAGCAACCCTGTCTTAGAGCATATTCATTGGGCATCAGTCGTCCAGCCAATAATAATTAATGGCTGTTGGCCTAACATTCAGGGGCTTCAAGCATTACCGGGGCATTCACTAGAGCATCGTGGAGTAGTGCCAACACACAGGACAAGAGTAAACATACAGCCCAGCAGGATAAAGTAAACCAGGAACACTTAACCCGAAGAAAATAAGTAGCCGGCGAGTTTGGTTTGTGGTATTTTGACTCTGGAGGTTTTGAGAATAAACCAAATAAATGAGCGGACCGCCAAATTCCTGAGATTTGTTCCAGGCGATATTTCAAAATAAAAGAATGAATGATATGGATGTGATGAGGTGTTTTGGATGTGGCGCGCGCGGCAGAGCAGCACACGTTTACAGGGCTCGCTACCACTGAAAAGCAGCCAACGTGACGGGAGCTGCTAGGTGAATCGTGGGTATGACGTCACCGCCACTACAACCGGAGGCTACGATCGCCGGGCGGAAGAAGATCAGAAGAAGCAGAAGAAGAAGAAGAAGAAGAAGAAGAAGAAGATGATGATGATGATGATGATGATGATGATGATGAAAAGTTGGTACTTGAGTCAAGAAGTGGATTGAGAGTGTGTTAGAAAGTGCGCGGCGGATTGATGTCGTTAACGCCAATACGTATAGTTCACGCCCCTGGGCTTTCTATTGCAGACATTGGGATTCTGGATACCACTTGAGATGATTTCATGTGATTAGCGACTACCGCGGAGTGGACTTGGCGTATTCTATTGATTTTCTGGCTAAAAATGACAAAGTTCACTGTAGGCGTTCGTGTACTGGCAAAATTGTACCTATCCATAACAAGAAAGCTATTGTAAATAATATTTGTGTGTACCAGTTTTTCTGTACGCGTTACATGAAAAAGCGCCTTGAGGGCAAGCCGGAAAGGATCGTGGCCCCGTTCCGGACGCAGCGCCGAACGCCGGGCGCGAACGCCGGCGCGTGCCATGTGGGAGGCGCGGGCTCGCGTTGTGTGGCGCGTGGGAGGCGCCCGCTGTACAAACGGCGCCGATAGACGACAACAGTTGCGGCCCCCCGCGCGGCCCAGTCGCCGCTATCAAAGTTTCATACGGGCTGGCCTGGCGCGCGCCGCGGCAAATGCCGGATGATGCGCCGGCGCTGCATAGAGTGTGTGTGTGAGAGAGGGGGGCGCGTTGGCGTTGAATTTACCTGCGGTGTGGTGGTGGTGGTGGACTTTTGCTTTTGGCCGATGGAAGCTCTGTGTGGCGTTGGAGGGTCGTAGAAAGGGAACATGTGTGGGAGTAATGTTTATCGTAGCGTTTTCAGGTCAAAGTTTAAAAATAGTACAATGCTCGTGACAAAACAATGTTGTTAATTATTCGGTACTCATTTATTGACAGAATTGATTCAATATTTGGGTGCTGAACTGTCGTTTGAGAAGTAAGAGTGTTTTTACCGTAGTTTTGCTTAGCGTAACTGACACAACGCGAATGGATTTAGCAATTATTTATTTCCTTTCGAAACCCCATTTTTTATTATACTGTAGCGTTGAGTGTAAGTGTGGGGTCTTCGAGGGCGATAGTAGAACAAGACTAACTTTCGTTGAAGATGGTCGGATATTATGCATTCGTTGAAACAATAAAATGTTTGATTGGATTACTATTGTTTAGTCCTGAAATTAACATTGATTTTTATTTATTTATTTATTTATTTATTTATTTATTTATTTATTTATTTATTTATTTATTTATTCATTTATTCATTAATTTATTTTGTTTTCCTCTAAGGCCAATATTTAATTGAATATAACAAATGCATTACGTTATTTTAACAGTAGAATAAGTAGAATCTCCACTTTAAAACGATTGAATAAAAATATCTGACCTGAATATTGCAATTTTAAGTTTATTTCTTTTCGAAACATGCGCTACTCACTTGATTTGCTATGTTTTATTGCTAGAAGGCAAATTGTTACACAAAGTGCCATCTGCGCCTAACCAATAGAGGAACAATCGCATTGGTTTTAACTGCGATTCTCCAGTTGTGTGTAAACATCATTTTTATTCTTGTGGAAGTTCTGTGAGTCATTCTGGACTGGAAGAAAGATAAATCTTGATCGGGAATGTTAGTATTATTTATGTTTAGTAGTAGATTTTTAAGACAGTAAGTTACACACATTGCAGGGCTTTTCGAAAGATAATATGTTCTACATTTAACGTAGTTACTACATTTTCATACCCGTACAGTATTAATTCTTTATAGGAGTGGAAGCCATTGTTTTCATTGTAGATATTGTTTAATAATACATCATATACTAAATATAACTATCATAGGGTCATTTCTTTTCCTAACATTTTTAATTTGACGAAAATACGAATAAGTGTTTTGAATTCCCAATGATGAAAATATTTAAATTTCATAAATGGAGATATTTTAAATCATAATCTCCAAAATATCAAGCACCACGCGCAAGTCATTATTAATGAGCGTGCAGGTTGCAACACTGTTATGGTGATCGTGAAACCTGACCTAAATAAGTGGTTAAATATCTTGAGAGAGTATTCTTTCTTGTTCTTCTTTTCTGCTGTCATTCTCAATAATGTAGTGTGCAGTTTGAAGTAAATTAAATATCCTTACGTTTAATATTTTCATGGGTTAATCATTCGCAATTGTCACCGAATGTAGATAATATTATCACGTGAACTTCAGGTTACAATGTACGACAATAGTAAAGAGTTTTTAGTACAATCTGTCACCCCTTTTCAGGTGCTGAATCATTTTTAAATAAACTAATTTAATGGTATTTACAAATAGTAAACTATATTAAAGGTATACATTAAACTCTTAAGGGGTTGTGAAATTAACTAATCGGGTACGTTGTAATAAAACCTTTAATTTATTCTAAAATAAATTAACTATTGGTTTTATGGTTTATACCTCAATTCTACCCTCGCTATTACGTAACATGGAATAACATTGTATTTCCTTAACTATCAAACTTCAAACAAAAACAATTTCAGATGACAAACGCCGGACGATTTATT